ACTCTATGTCATTGATTGATTTATAATCAATATGGCCTGAAATTTTTTCCTTTAACAACATGAATTTTCTTTTTTACAACTTCGCCTATTGGTCCGTTTACGAGTTTTCATTTTGCAATCGTTGATTCGACAATTTGCATACTTTCATTCAAGGACATATTTTTGTTTCTTATTTTGTAAATGTATGTGCAATAAAACTAAAATTCACTGAGATGAAAATTAAATGAGTTTTCAATGTTTCATTTTGCATAATATTTTGAGCTTTTCTAATAGCGATAGAAGTTCTGGATCTAAATTTGAAATAATTTCTTGTATTTTTGTACGAAGAAGACGTATGAATGATGAAATAATAAAATATGTTTAAAAATATTTACAAATTAGTGAAATAGGTATGTAAAAATATGTAATTATACCAAAATATGTAAAAATATGTAAAATAAAAGTAGCATCATATTAATAGGAATGATTTAAATCATGAACATTTCTTATCAAATTTTAAATATCTCGTTTTAATAAAAATATGTATTTACATATAAATCCGTTCCCTACTGATAATACACTTGTGCATTATTATTTCAATGACTTCGACTGCGTATGCGTTAGTGTTCAAAAATAGAAAATGAGAAACAATCATAAAAGGGAAAGTTGCTGTTTCTGCCTAGCCAAAAGGGATTTAACATTTTTTGCGCTGATTTATCGATGACCCTTTCTCTACGGCTTTGTCGCTTGTCAACAGCAAAATACGCTTCCCGAGTGATCGAAAAGTCTGACGAACAAATGTAACCGCGACCGGTGTCCTTCTTACGATTCGTTGTAGCCGAAATTTTACGACGTATGCAGTGTGATTCCCGAAGTCCGTTCCGTCCAGGTGCCGCGGTCGATCTCTTGATCTCGGTACCACGACCACGGTAATCGTTTCTGGCGACCATGCCGTGACCCCGGACCCTCCGGATCGAGAGTGGTATGAGAACGATCAGGGTTTTACCTTCACGTAATTTGCCGATGACGGTTGAACACCACCACCGAAAAGTGGCTAACGCAATTGAAGTCGAGCCGAACCCGGGTACCGTAAACACATGAGAACATCATCGTCACTGCCTTCGCCGATCAGACTCAGCTCTTCCGGTACTGAGGTTCGTGACCGTCTACCGTATGAATCGAAACAATAAAATTATGATAAGTCATTAAGCGGTTGTTGTTGGTTTTGGTTTTTACTTTCAATCGAATCTTAGATCGTCATTAGTATAATAATAATTAATAATTATAATATACGACTGTATAATAATTATTGTTTTTGAATTTATTATTTTTGTTGTGGTACTGCAGTTATCCGAAATGGCTAAACGTCAAAGTAAAAACACATCCCATTGCATAGAAGTACAAAATGTTTCTTTCAAAATTTCTTTGACTCTCTTACCAAATTATTCGCAGAATTCTCACAAAAATACACGAACAAAACACACACTGCAGTTTATGTCGATCGATATTTTTAGTGGACCAATTATTTTCCATTCGCGGTACATCTGTGCATGTTATTTTTTTTTATTACATTAACTGAATGAAAAATAATAAGAATTATAATAATAATATAACTCGCTCACTCAAATAAAATAAAATGAACAGGTAGCATTAATTTTTTATACATAGTAATTTTTTGTTTAAAATTGTTATTGTTTTACTAAGCGTTCTAAAACCGTCGATTACTATTTTCGGCTATTCGTAAAGAATGGGGTTAGAGTAATTTGAACGATTAAATGGAAAAAAATATCTGTTACAATATTACGATATCTTACAAATCAACGCGAACGGAGGCCGCTCGATACGGGTGCGCAATGTGAACTTATACCATGAACTACTTACCACTGATTCTGCAAACGACGGTACGACTAGGGGTGCCTTAACTGCCCCAATACGCGATCGAATTCATATATTCTTCGTGTGATTGTTTGTGCAGGTGAGTATTGATGCGAACAAACAAAACAACCGTGGCGGAGACGATATTGGATGCGCTAGAAAAATCCGGAACACTGTGCACAACTATTATACCTAATTACATTAAATTATAAGTTGTATCATCGTCATCTGACTTGTGCGCAACGGATCCGTCCGGATGGTCGTAGTTATGAATATCGCACGTGCGACGGGGCACAAAATCCGAACAACGACAAGGATATTTTATCATTGATCGGATCGGATTTTCGCGTCGAAAACAAGACGCGAATCATATCATATTCGAGCACGTGGCGTATATCGAAAAACACGAGGTTGTAGGTATGTATATAGCCGTCCGAACGCCGCTCTTTTTGCAGACCTTCAATGTTATTTTATTATTATGAAAACGACGCGTGACATTATAATATTTGTATGTTACATGTATAGATATTATCCGTTAGTTCGAAGGTTACTTCCGCGTAATATGGTGCATGTAATCGGCACGAAAAAGCGTTCGTCGCGAAGCACGTCAAACGGTCGTTTAATCGCAATTTTTTCCGACGCCAACTGCTCCGGAGAACTCAATGCATAATGAACACATATCAAGTTTAATCTGGCCAATGACCATTCGTGTATACTCGAGTAGCTTTCGGCCAGTGATCAGTGGAATGATTTTCGTTTGCGACCACTAGGAGTACCTTTTTTCAGTAAGTACATGTATGTAAAGTATAACGTATACATATAAACATATGCATAATATAGGTATATGATTATAATTATAATTTTTATATACATATTAGTAATGGGAATCAGATTCGGATTAAGGAATTTAAAATCTTACTAAAACTTACACAGCCTAACCGCCACTCTATTCTCTAACAGTTACTTCCTTTGTTTATCGAAAGTTAATATATCGTATAAACTGCAATCACGTCCAAAGCAACTGCAAATAAGAAATGTATGATACAAAAACACAAAATAATGACTTCATAAAAAATCATTATTGCTATTCAAGACAGTTATTGTTAATGAGAACCTAACCGATGGTCAAAGCGCTTACGTATATACGTTGTAGACGTCCAAATACTTGCGCTAACCAAATGCGATACGATTTTGACCTAAGACAATGGGCTATTATAAACATTAAAAACAGAAAAAATTACTATTAAAAACAGCAATTTACTTAGCAAACGAATATTGTGGAAGAAGTTTTCATTTTTATGTATTTTGGGCATAGTCTGCAACTTTGTAAATGAGCACTTATTTTTATTATTATTATAATAGACGTATAAGTGCAAATAGCGTTTGCGATTATAGGAGGGGGAGGGGAAACTTTAGCTTAAAAATGTATAGTTTTATATGTAATCAATAATTTTTTTGGGAGAAGCTTAATCTCTCAACCTCTCGATTTGCACCTATGTTTATCACATATGGAGTGTAAAATACGCATATTATTTAAGTATAAAAGCTACCCAATAATTATGGTTATGAGTATGATGAGTAATATAAATTAAAACAATCTACACTAAAAAACAATGATGGAATATGTAATTTTAAGAAACATAGAAGACTGAATGACATCGAATGTAGCACAGTAATGCAGAAGATATTAAACTTTGGAGAGGTGATAAGAATTACAAAAGCAAACCACGAGTTATCTCAGTGACAGTTGTCCCAGTCAATCACAAATAAAAAAATAAAAAAAACCTATCGAGAAATAAACGTATAGAAATAGACGTAATAGAAATATTTCACTACTATTATACAATTCACGTTTAGTATATTATACAGAGTCCGGCAAAAAGACTTCCCATATTTTAAAAGGCAATCACAAATAAATAAACAATTTGACAGAACAATTCTGTTAATTTTTTTAAATTAAATACTATTCCATTTTGCATTAAATAAAATAATTACTTAGTTTTAAACATTATATCCTTTAAATATTGTCCTTTATTATTTACACATTTACGAAGCCTTTCCCGGAAGTTTTCCATTGCTCGTAGAGTCATTTGTGGTTTAATGGCTGCCACTTCCTGAGTGATTGCCTGAGTGATGAGCGTAGACTTGGGCCTTTAAATTTCCTCAAAGAAAAAAATCACAAGTTGGTAAATCGGGGGACCTTGGGGGCCAGGTGATGTCTCTTTAAAAAAAGGGAAGATGTCCTGGAAACATCTCTCTCAAAATGGTTAGTGAACGCCGTGAAGTGTGTGCTGTGGCTCCATCTTGTTGAAACCAGATTTCTTCGTGGTTTCTAGTGAACTGAATTAAGTTTGTTCGGAGGCAGGTCTCAATCATGTGACAGTAATGATCCGCATTAACTGTAACTTTTTGCTCATTTTCTTCGAAAAAATACGAACCTAACATACCAAATTCAACAACAGCACACTAAACTGTTACAAAAGGGGTGTGAAGTAGTCGTTGATGGGGTTCTTGAGAGTTTTCTGTTGCCCAGAATCGGAAATTTTGTTTACAGTACCCGATAAATGGAAATGGGCCTCGTCAGACGAAATTAAAACAGCACCAACGGAAATGTTTTGAAGAATATCTTCGCAAACAGTTCTGCGAGTTTCAAAATCTCTCTCATTTAATTTTTGTGTGATGCTCACCGTGTATTATTTTGTTGAATCCGATCTTTTTTTGTGATAACCTATTCGGGCCTGTTGGCAATACAGGTGATATTTATTCAAATGTATAAAAATATGTCGATCGTTAGCAACAAAGAACTCGAATCGCGGTTTCCGGGACTCACGTTTCGAAATCGCCTCGTGTCCACGCACACATGTTGCAAAAACAATGCACGTCGCACGTTGTTATTATTATTATTACTGCTATCGTTACACAGTCACTGAAAAATAAAACATATTTAATAATATATATATATATATATATTTACATAAATAAAATATGCATTAGACACTTTCATCGCACACGCACACTTGCACACGGGTATATACATTATAAATATTTGCATTATATATCAAAATAATAAAAATTGGTACGGTGACGGCAGACGGGAAGGTAAACACAGAGTGGGCTTATTGTTTTGGAAATTCCAGCTGAAAAAAAAAAACACTCAGCCTAGACGTTTAAAAAGCGAACGCCGGCCGACGGGCCAAGCACAGTTTTTTCACGATGATATACAGAACGATCATACTTTACGTCGCCGTCCAGGTGCGCATCGAGTCACACATTTAATAAATACACCACATATTCGTACTTAAACGTCCAACCGTGTTCCGTTGCATTTTCTAATTTCCTATGTTTACAACGGTAATGTTTTGTTCTGATAAATAATATGTTTCCGCTGTATGTTGCAGTCGGTCGTCGTCGCGTCGCCGACCGCCAGCCAACACAGCGAATTGATGATCGGAACGTTTCACCACCCGACGCAGGCATCTAAAGCTCGTGGCATACCGGAAATGGGTAAACTTCCCAAGACGTCGGCCTCATCGAAAAAGCTTCCGGCCGGAGGAACCGTCAAATTCACTACTACTGGTAATTAGTGTTTTAATCACAGTCCGAAAGCGATCGGCGGTTTGAATAATTATATACTTGTATATATTAACTATCATACCACGAATACGTAGGTACATGAGTAGGAACTAATACGTACAATATCAGAGTAAATCTCCGTTAAATTATGATTTCAACTACATAAAAAAAAAAAAACAGTTCTTCTTATAGCGTCTAATATGTAATCATAACATAAAAAAATGATATAATTCATTTCTAATTATTTTAAAAAAGTCATCCATTGGTAAGAGACATTTTGAGAATGATTTTATAATAATAAACTATTCATAAGTATAGCCCATGTACGGCTCATTACCAGTGTCGTACGAATCAATTATTGTGTTCGGGACATAACTTCAAAATGCGTCATAATGTATTTATTGCTTAAAAATATTATAATTATTAGATATGGTTTTCAGCGATTGCTTCAATTAATATTTACAACAGGACATTAAAGTTTTTGTAAATAAAATATACAACATTTACCGTTGTCGTTTTTAACATAAAATGCAAATGTTTCATTTTCGCTTCCTCCTAGGATGTAGGGATATAATCCCGAGATGTAGGCACCTCTTTTTCACCCTTGTTACGGCTTTGTTCATTACTCTAAACTGTTTTAATTTATAATTTATATCTATAGTCAAAAATTATTCCTATCTTGCGGTACGTCTTCTACCGATAGGTGAAAATAAGGGGAGTCAAGAAGAGGATAAAAATCTGTATATTTATTTTAGAAGTTTAAAGTTCTAAAATCTGTAATAAAATATTAAATTAAATTTCCTCCAAACCCGTAGTAATTTGAACGAAACCAATATATAATTTAGTAGCGGAATATATATATATATACGTATATAGTGTTTGTTAATATTTTATGAATTATCCAATGATATCCGTTGTCACTTTGTATGTCTGAATAATACGTTTAGTGGACACTATATTCTTATGAAATTCTGCAGGGTGTAATGCACTGATATCCACGTTTCTGTTCTAATTATTGTATTGTTGCGTATGGTAAACGTTTATTACATTTTTGCGGTATTACAATGCTCTTAGCATATGTTTTGCACAAACAATATTAAACGAATAAAACGTTAAAAAATTAATTTACCACAGATTTCAAGAATTTCAACTACAGCCGTCTTCATCGTGTTAATTTTATACTGCTATTCATCGTATGTATTATAATACGTGCGCGCAAGCCAATATCGTCTGACCTGTTTCAGACTTAATCTGAACGGGCGATAAGACGCTTTTGCCTGGCGTGTTATAAGGTTTCGTGATAAATCCTATATTTAAAATCACTAATTTATTTAGCAACATATAATTTTATGTACCGCCACGGAGGCGAGGAGAAATAATTACGATGGCATAAAAGTAATGCACTGAACCGACGTATTTTTCGTAACGAACCGACGATTGAGTCGGTTTATCTCATACATTTCGTGTAATTACAATAATTATATCATACCATTTGATACATTTGGTACATGCCCAAATGTTGCCCATCATTACCTAATGATCAATGTTACAGCTATAGTCGGATGCACAGTTTTGTGCGAACTGTACAGTACACCAATTAAAAATTATACATGCGCGTTGTGTGCTCTCGCAAAATCTGCTGCTGACACTGTTGAATTATATCTGATCGGGGATAGGGTTTTCGGTTTTTTCTCAGCGGTCCCGTATACGTTCATTCCTGAAATTCCACACGTGTACTGCAATGCGACTAAGCCCTTTTCGATATAAGTTCCAACATAGTTAATAACGATTTGCGTTTATTAATTTTTACACGGTAATTAGAAATAATCGATCAACTTATATGTGTATACGCATCTTATAGTATTATAATATAGTTTAAACAATCCAATTTTGCACCATCGCAAAACAAAAACTACTTTAAGGGTTGAGCGATAGTTGCAACGGTCGTTACTTAGAACAATTGGCCGAAGGCGCGCATATGAACGGGATGATATTTTCAAGTTAATTTTAAGTTTAATTTTTTTTTTTCTATTTTCTATTATAATTATAATTTGTATTTAGTTTTCTGCTCTATTCTCGATCGATGATGCATGTTTTCTTAATCTGACCCTGAAAGAAGCAAAATCATTCTGATCATTCTGTACATTTCTGTATACAAAAACCTGAATGTCGAGCTAGTAAATGTTTATAATTATGTAAAGAGCAGGCCGAGTACACACCCAAATGTTAATCATGTGTAATACGACATAATATTTTGAATATGTAAACGATTAAGCAATGTATCAGCGATTATTGTCAATCGTAATGATATGGTTCAACTTCGTGAAAATTTCGAGAGTTCAGTTTCGACAACGAGCAACGCGTTACGCTCAATTTTTTCACTTCATATTTAGAACGTATATTCTGCGCACAATCGCGTACAATTAACACATAACGAAACAAGTGGAACTGAGTATTCGAGAGATTCGGACATTTTCGTTGGATTTTATTTCGGGGATTTAAAGAGGAAACCTGTACAAGAATATTGCAATCGTACATGTAAACGAATATTTCACGCATGTAATAGTAGAAGCCGAGAGCATAATGATGATGACGACTTCCCGATAACCTTTCCGTCTAAATTATCTGAATTTCAACAGTCAATCGTAAAACTGTCCGCTGCGCACAAAAATTATACCATCCGAAAACATAAAATATTATTATTATAATACGATATGTATTATCCAATGGGATAATATTATTTCATACACGTGTATGCTTGGTGATATCCATAATAATATTATTAACATAGTTATGGTATTATTAACACTATAGTCCACTTAACCATATAATGACTTAACACAGGTCACAACTTTAGTCACAACTCGTATTTGTTGTTTATCAAAATATTACGCGTATATACCTATATTAGGATAATAATTAGTTATGCAGAATAGTATAGTAATTCGAAATCTGATTAATTTAATCGATATCGATGTGACTAAATTATCAAAAGTATTTCGATATCGATATCGAAAATTGATGTCATAATTTATATTTTCTGTAATATGAAAACATTAAAAAAAAAAAAATACGTAATAAATTAAGAAAAAAAAAATTAATACATTTTGTATTTAGTATTGTATTGTTCTTAATTTTATAAATTATATTATCCAGTGGCAGATTTAACTTATTTTATAGCTATAGACATTACAAATTTGCCGCTCCAACTATTAAATATAATAGTAAGTACCTACTTTAATCCATTTTAATTTTTAAGCAATTATTTTCTCGCTTTTAATTATTTAGCCTATTTTAAAAAATTTTCGATGGACGTCCCTCAAATTTTCATGAAAACGTACAATGATAATTTTATGAACCACCATTATTAAAACCATTGTTTAAACGGTTAAGTAAACATTACATTATTTTTCGTAAACATAAAATAAGACATTTCTTGTTTATGTGATTTATGTGTTTTAACGAAACACTATACATTTTGCCACTCTAGACAGCCGCCTACCAGACACGCAAATATGTGTTTATTTTAGGGAGGGTGATTAAACTTCTTCAAAATTATCGGGGCTTAAATAATATGCAAGAAAGTAATATATCCCGTTTATCATAATTCGTAGTTACTATAATCCGGTTAATTTCTTTTATACCTCTTTAAGTTACGTTCTTGCCGCTTACTCTGCCTATTCGGAAATTCGCCTCTGATTTTATCGATTTATCGTTTTTCCATATCGATATCATATATTTTTCGATATCGGGATACAACATCGATATAAATGATCCGATATCGATAATTGAAAATATATCCTTGTGTAACACTAATAATAATATTATATGTACATATTTTATCGGTAAAAGCTGGATGAATATAAACGATCATAACTTTTTTCCAAATAATAGATTGAAAATATATCAACATTTATTAATATTGATATAATTACCTATACAGTTAATATAATTATTCAAGTTTTCATGTTTCACCCGGTTAAACCGTGTACCACGGTGTGAGTCCCTCGATTGATTCTTGCCGCACCTATTTCAAGTTATTGCACACAGTGATACGGAAGTTTGTATTATTATAAAAAAAACCTCAACTAGCTCTAACTTAAAATAAAATAAAGTTCCGGTTATACTTACCATCATGGACACACGTACGACAAATATACGATGCACACATATTCGTAAAGTTGTTATATTGTAAAAAACGGTTTGACCACGTACCTTCAGTGTCAGAAAAAAAATACAACTTTAAAAGTAGCACTTAATTAATATACATTAAATTTATATAATATAATTATATATATATATATAATTATATAATATTATATATAATTATATATATATATTTATAAAAGAATTATTAATTATTCAAAATAATAAATATTTATATTTATTTATATTCATAAATTAAGTTTATGACGACTAAAAAAAAAAAAGTTTTCAGTAAACGTCCAGTTTTTCAAATTAAAAAATTAAATTATAAACATTTTACAAAATTAAAAAAGTTGGCAACCCTAACCTACACATATTATTTGTACGTTCGCACCTGGTCCGGGCGCTTTGTGCCGGAATAACGATTACAGATCAAATTTTATTTATAATACAGATTTTTACACATTACGTGATCATTAACCTTTTTTTTTTTCGTACGCGAGCAAATTGTTTACCGCACCTATGAACGTGATGACGTTCTCCTTTCGCATGGCTCTAAAAGTAATACGGTTCATACTTATTATCATTAATATTCTTTTAATAGTCAGAACAATAGCGCACTGGCTTGGCGCGCCTGGCGGTCCGTTTTTGTTTTTTTCTTCTTGTAGGACCGAAATTAAAATTTCGCGTTGTACCTAACGCGCTACTTTATTAAGAACTCCAGAATACGGATTTGTAGAAGAAAAATGGAAAAATCGCATCGCAATATCATAACAAATAAATAACAATGGACTAAACAAACTTTTTACGGAACTTTTTCCGCCTTATAAATGATATTATATGCACGACAGACAAAATATACAGTAGATTATGATTTTTTTTATGTTAAATTGGATATGATTTTCAAAAGATGTTTTTAAGAAATTATTCGCTCATTAATAATAATAATTTATTGAATACCATATATTATGGATTTTTAGTAGGAAACATGTTCATCTTATCCAACCTTTCTCTATTTCTTTCTCGCTCAATGACTTTGTACTGAAACGCGTAATCGGTGTCGAAGACCTATAGGGTTCTACCTTATTCCTAATCTTACTTTTGATCACTAACCTTACCTAACCATTGATAGAACTCTAAAAGTACTACTATAAAACCGAATTCTAAACTTTTTACATCCATCTCGCGTCTCCGTTCCTTAAGTCCCTTCTATTTTTCTTTGGTTGGCTCCATTTTAAAATACGGTACAGTCTTGTACTTTTGTGATAATAACAATTAGCTGAGAACCAACTTCGTATTGAGCGAATTCAAAACCGACTAATTTCTTAAACCGCTTTAATCTCATCATGACTACTCTTCTGCAAACTCATCCTTAAATGTAATCCTACTCTTACCTATCATCATCTTGATATGGATCTTCATTTTATCTCCTCTCTTCTACAATATCTCTTATTTTTTCTTTCATCTCTTATAGTGTTCATATCTATACAACTAGAGACTATTCTACATAATACATCTCTTCTCATCGTATGTAATACAACTATAACCATCCTAAACTCGGAATGATTAGTCTCCTTAACACATTCTAACTTTTTATATTTATTTACGATATCATTAAATTACTTTATTTTATTATCTCAGTTGGTTATACTCGCCATATCCAATATGTCAATTTATCCTTTTATATGTAGGAAATGCCATTTATTATTAACTATCTGTATCATAGGGGTGCGTACGTGGTGAAAAAAATAAAAATATATTTCGTTGGAGTAAAAATTAAACTAAATATTCTAAATTTTCGTACAAAAAATCATCATGATAATATAACAGCTGCAATCGACTACCAAAATACAAATCAAAAATAATCAAAGCTATTTAAGCAAAATATACGAGGTTCAAGGAAAACATAATCATTGGGATTGATATACTAAAATATTTAAATAAAACATTCAAGTTATGTTTATTTAATTACTTAAACATTATAATTTATTTAACATAACTATATCATATAATAATTATTGTTCAAACAATATGTAAAATATCATCAAACTTTGTATAAATTGGCATTTATAAAATAAATAAAGTAACACAATACTCATAAGACATGATTAAATTGTATCGATCAGTTTCAAAATGAAGTACTGTAGTGAAATTGATGTGAATAATGAATTCTAACTTTTTTTCCAAATCGAATGTGACTAATGAGTGGCCCCTTTCCTAAAAAAAACTGTTCAAAATAATATGCATAATTTATTGTAAATTATTTTATATCTCAATAATCGAACATCATTTCTTACTTGTAGGTATCATATTTTATTATTGCATCTGCAGAGGTACAAATTGTAAATTGGATGTAAAAAATAAAAATAATTCTTTCGGGAAATTCGATTTTTAATTTCGTTCTTTCCTAGACGACATTTAATAATAAAATCAGTTTATCAAAAAACGTTACTAAAATTACTACCTAAAATGTTATATCATATGACTTACACAACGAATTGTTTTAGGAAATAATCGCTCATTACGCAACAGTCATATTTCCGCCAAAGACGGGTATCAACTGTCTAAGCCACATTCAAACCATATTCGCTTGGAAGATTTGCACCAGAAATCACGGCCGCAGATATCGAACGACGAAAGGGCTGAGAAGGTTAACTCAGACTTGGAGAAAATGATACAGTTCATGACAGTGCTGGGCCAAGTCGACCGGTATTTGTCGGCCAGAGCCAAGTCATTTATTAGCACGCTTGGCCGAGCAATGGACAACAGTCTTGACGATCGTCAATTTTACAACGATAAAGAAATGTCGTCTTACGATTATTGAATATTTATTATTTTAATTATATTTTGCATGTTCTATATTTATTTATTTATTATTTTATTCATTTTATTATTTAATATGAATTGAAAACCACAACACTTGTTTTGTTCTTCTTAAAAAACTACACTAGGTATTTCTTTTTTTCGATGATGACGTACATATATTAAGTGTCTATACAATATGTTATACAGAAGACTCAATAATTCGAAATTCAGGTGACCGAAATGAATATTCCATTTAAGGATAACTTCGAATTATAGTGAGAAAGAAACAATTTTAATTGAAGAACGTTCAACATTTTTATTACAATACATATGTATATTTATTGTTTAATTTAATTTATCATTTATACCAGATAAATTAAGTAAATACTACATGCATATTAATTATTTATATGAATATTTAAATTAATTTGGCATGCAAAAATCTTTTATTTTTGCTTTTACTGTCATAGTCAACTTTTTTTTTATCATAAAGCGACAAACCATAATCACTTACTTGATTATGACAACTGTCTGTTTACTGCTAAAGCTTTGGTAAAGATGATCAATAAATTATTCAACTAGAGTCAACAGCTATTTGAAAAATGAAATTTATTTGAGCTTAAATTATATTAATAAATTCAAATTATAAAGGTTTTGGCTATTAATATTTAAAAATATGGAATATTTACTACCACCTCCGGTTTTATTATTTTTGATTTATCAGGTTTAATATATAAATTTTCTTCAAATTAAGTTTTCACAAAGGATCATTTAGTTTGATTTTAGGCAATTTTAAAATTATTGAGAGTCTACTATACTCGTTATTTGTTAGTGCTTGTAAAAAAATGACAACAAGGTTTTCAAAGTAATACATTTAACCTGTAAGCTAAATATTTAAAGAAAAAAAATTATAAATTTTGAAAAAATCCCATTAAAACAACAATACATATGTACAGAATTCTATTTTATTTTTACATTTAATGCATTTTGTTACCAAATGCTACAGTCAAGCATCATGGTAATTCAAAAATCTAAAAAAATACATAACAATTATAAAACTTAATTGGTCACTGTTTCGCTAGGTTGGGTTTCAGTTTTATTTTGTTGCCTATTCCTCCAAGCTGTCATGTAGGTACGAGGATGCATAGGTAGAAATCCAGATAAACCTGAAAATAAAATGTTCTACATTATTATGAACAAAATTAATAACTTAAACAATTTGGTTGTAATACTTTTCAGATTATACCAAATTATTTTTGAAATTTGAATATTATAACACTTTTATCAAGGAATTTTAAATAATATAAACACTTTAAAATACTTTACGTCATATAATATGAGAAGGAAAAAATATTTATTTTGAAAAAAATACAGCTCTTTTATCAAAATTATGTAATGACATAAATATTTTGAGTTGCATTACCATTTAAAGAATATTCATATAACTTAATTTAGGCTAAATAATATTTAACACATTATAAGCATTTATTATTCATGCTTGAAAAGCACACAGAATATACTCGTTTTAATTAATATGTTATAAAAATAAAACAATTATGATATAATTAAAGTGGTTTTCCTTCTTTTTAAAATCGGATTTATAATTTGTAGTCGATAAAACCAGTTTAAACTAAGGAACAAATTTACATAAATTATGTTATTATTTAGTTTTTTTAAATTGCTTTAGTACAATGGTATGCCTAGAATTTTTTTTTTTTTTGGAGGGGGGAGGATTAATTTTTGAACGTTATTATAAATTTCTTTGTGATTTATAAAATGGTCAGTCAGACAAGTCAATATAATATAATAATACAATTATAATATACAAGTATAATCAAAAATATGGTATGAATATATATAGTTATTTTATAAAGGAAGTTGATAGTAGTACACTACTCCAATTATTTTGTTTTTTATTTTATTGTTATGGGGCATTTCAATGACATATAAGCTTGTCAAGTTAGACAAAATTATCTTCTAATATTATTTTATATTTTTCATTTGAATTCTTACTGATAGAAATTAAACTTTGGATTATCATGTTTCTACAGATTAAAAACCTTTGAAATCAAAAATCCAGATGTTCTTGATTTGAGTGACCAACTTGATTATTTCAAAATAAAAGCAATATGCGCATAACAATTTAGTCAATTATTGATGAATAAATTTATATTTCACTGTGACTGTGTAATATAATAGAATATATGTTTATTTTATAAATAAAATAAAGTAAAAAAAATTAAGATAGTAAATTTGAGGGTAATTTAAACCTTCAAAACCATGCCTCTGCTTTAATAGATTATCATTTTTAAAGCTGACAACCGATATGATGACATTTATAAAATACTAAAAAGCAAACATCAGTTATTGACTCGAATTTTGGAGAAAATATTTGATAGTCAAATTACATATAAATAAAACTGTTTGGAATCCAAATCATTAAATAGAGTCTAATTTTAAGTGTTTGGTTCATGTTAAACACAAGTAGTAAAAACTGAACTAGTTTCATATGAAAAGTTGAACCCAAACAAACATTTTGAATTACAAATTTAATTTGAACTCAATTTAAATAGAAATTAAATAATTGCATGTACATATATAATTTTTATAAAATATGAATAACATATTAATTTAATCGATAATACTTATTCATTAAATTTGTACATTGTATATTGAATTTTGTTAGAAATTCAAATTAGAAATTAAATAATTGCATGTACATATATAATTTTTATAAAATATGAATAACATATTAATTTAATCGATAATACTTATTCATTAAATTTGTACATTGTATATTGAATTTTGTTGTTATTGATAACCTACCACATATATTTACTAACTTTTAGCATAACTCTTTTCCTACTAACAATATTCAAATGTATAATTGACTAACATCCAACCATTCATAATTAAACATACAAAAGTGTACACATTATAATGATCAAATGAATCATATTGTATAAAAAATAGACTATTGCACAAACCTAATAGCTCAGCAACTGGATTAGATAGGCGAGCCTTTTTTGCCATCCAATACTTAATCCTTTCCAAATTTAAGCTAACCAGTTTTTCTCCATTGTGGTTTTCCATAGGGTCATAAGTCCCAAGTTGTTCAATCGGATGTGCTTTACAATCACGCCTTTGCTAAAAAAAAAAAAGTTAAAAAAATATCCATAGATTTTAAAGAAAACTTTTGAATGTATCTATACACATTTGTATATACTTACAAGTACAACTACGATGTGGTAAAAAGGTCTATTTGCACATCCATATCTGGCTAAACGTATAGATTTTTTAGCTTTTTCATAATCATCACCTCCCCCACTGGACGGCATTAGCTTCTTTAATATTCTGTACGCTCTCATTGTTCATATAACTATAATAAAATTAATATTAAAAATCAATAATAAAATATTAACAGAGACGTTCAAATTCAGATGGTAAAAAAAAAAAAAAAATATGAACATGTTTTTAATGATGACCCCAATAATATACGGACATCATTTTAATTGATAATGAACATTTGATTCTACATTAATTTTTCTATATTTTTCACTCTTATTCAAAGGCGGTCCAGTTGTATGGTATGGAAAACATTAATTTCTAGGCGATTTTTACTTAATAGTTTGTGCTTCTTTATCAATGCCTTTGATTCTATTATCTTACAGTGTAAGCAATTCTCAAGGAAGGTACACGAACACGTCTAAACACAAAATATTAATAACTTGTGTTCAATGAGAATGGGTAGGATTGTAGACGGGTAGTCAACAGTCTGATCTTCGAGTGCAACACCATCAGATCGCTACTGCTCGTGTTCAATAGAAATCAAAAGGGAAAACTGAACGCGGATCAAAAAATATTACATCCTGTCCGTCATACTTAGAAAGCCGCACGTTCAAACACAATATCGATAATCGTAGGCAAATTACAATTTAATAATAAATTATGACCATACTCACATTTCACCAACGCAATGACAAATCCACTGTTAAGTATTTATCGAAAACAATAGTGTTTCAAAAGTTAAATGTCGTACGGTTCCGTCTCCTGTGCCGAAGACAATAATTTTTCTTTCGAAGAAACCGATAACCTAAAAAATGGATAAGAAAATCTTGTTATCATTTAATTTGATTTCCGAGCTTTTATCAATGTTTTATAGTGCACCGCGCCGGGAGATTTGTTTTTTTCCTAGTAAAATTGTAAATAAAAACAAACCGTAATACAATGCACTGCTTTACGGTCGACAAAAGTTATTCGAGCAACGTCGTTAACATCTTCAAACAACTTCGATTTTAGAACAAGGATTCGTAAGGAAAGCGCGTAACATGGAAGCCTTGAAGGTGAGTTATCCTCTGTGCCGTGTTCGTGACGGACAATAGTGGACGTTGTTTTTCAAAAAAAAAATATAATTGTTGTCGTTTCAGGAAGCGCCCATACCGGCGATGGACAGCTTGGCCTCGGCTATGAAGAATAACATTGTTCCGAACCAGGAGTATCTGTTACAAGGCAGCGTCCTAGATTCGGCTGTCGAGGTACTGTTGCACAGGCTACGAGGTCTATGCGACAATGTCGATTCCGGCCCGGAGACTTTTCACGATCATGAAATGTGTTTCAGCATAAGTAATTGCTAACCTCTAACGATCTAACAACCTGGCCATGCCAGGGGCTCATTATGGTTTTCAGTTGTTCTTGATAATTCATTGTAATTTAACATTTTCTCTTTTAGGAAACGTTACCCCGCAACCTCTTACGTTAAGAGTTAGGAGAGCAATAGATTATTTAGACATGCCATATCAGCTGCGTTATATAGGACAACCTGAACTTGGTAGAACTCTTTACAAATTGTAAGTGAATTGTAATTGTTTGATCATTCCATTTTCAGGTGACAAGTCCAGACCTACTATCCTACGAAATAGTATCGATGTAGCCACAACACCGACGATTGTCGATTTCCTCACCGAAATGGGATTCCGTATGGATTTCGAGTATATTTTACGTGGTTACATGTTCCGTAAAGGTAGAATGAAGATCACTGTGTCCAAAATTTTTAAGGTTGGTCGCATCAGTTTTATGTTTATTTAGTTAATTAATATTAAAACTTTTTTTTTGTCTTGGCTTCAGATGATGGTGGTTGGAAAACCAGCACCTGAAAGTGTTGATCCAATATCTCAATCTTATCTAGTGGAATTGAGTGTTCTGGCACCCAGTAATCAAGATGCAATAGCTGAAGACATGCGTATATTTGCCGAGCAATTGAAACCACTTGTACACTTGGAAAAAGTCGATTACAAACGATTAACACAACCACCAATGTAAAATCTTTATAAATAATACATTTTTTTATCTAAACTCGTTTAATGTTGTATATATTTTTTATACTCAATTCCGTAAATTTGAATACACTACCATTTTTCGTTTTAATTTATTATATCTGGATAAAACAACTTATTAAACAAATTTTCTTTGTATGGATTTTTTCACATTCCTTATGGTAAATGAATATAAGCAAAGCAATTTATGTTTTTGTATACCATACATTTAAGTGTTGTAAACAAGAAAATATGAAAAAAAAATAAATAAAATAACTAGTCCTTTATTTAAATAAAAAAGATACAATATTTATTATATAATGTTTATACATTAGACTTTAAAAATTAACGTGATTTTTTTTTTAAAAAATAGTGTTTATTAGAACTACAATAAATCACCACAGTAAAAAGATAATAATAAGTAAATTAACCTATAATGTATAAAAATATGATTTAAATTTTTTTAAATGTGCCATAAATATTATGCATCATAATCACACCTAAGTTAATCGACTAAGGTCTTATATTTTCTTTCCCTTTAAATGACATGGTAAATCTTTTTGATACTGGCAAACCCTGTTGAAATATATAAATGTAAGTATACGACTACATAATATTTAATAATAAAAGAGATGGTAATTTATAAATATACGGTTATATACAAAATAAAATATTTTAAGAAATAATTTGAATAAAAACACTGTTAACTTACACTCATTTTCGGTTTTGGTATCTTCCCAATTTTACTTTCAGACTAAAATCATATAATACCATATTATAACATGAATAATACAGAAAATACATTTATTCTTACTTTGGATTTATTTAATTTGAAGAACTGTAAAGCTTCATTCCTATTTACATTAGCGCCCTCAAACAAAACAATTGTAGTCTAAAATATAAACTATGTTATTAATAAATATAGTACATGCAATATTTATTTTTCTCTACACTTACATTGGAACGTTTATTAGTTGAATTGATCAAACGCGAATTATTTAACAAGGATAATTTTTTTTCATTCTTGATGTTTAAAACAGTCAAACAAAATATGTCAGAATAAAAAATAAAAAACCAGAAAAAAATCCAATAAAATCTAACTTACAGTTTTTGAAATTTTTCCAATACATTTGGTAACATTAAGTGGGGTACTTGGACTTTCGATGGAACTGGCTATTGATCGACGAATTGAAGGACTGTAATTAAAAAATAAAACTGATTAATCAACAACGCTAAATATTTAACAAATACAAATATATAGATTAAATATATTTATACTTAGTACTATTATATTAAAATGGTTCGAAAGACTTAAAATTAAATCAATTTATCTTACATAAATTAAAGTACTATAGTAAATTTTAAATAAACCGTAGATTTAATTTTCATTGTTTAACTATTTATAAAATATAACTCCTTTAAGCTTTATTATACAAACCCATCTCTACCCATCAAATAAATTGATTCCAAATAACTATTTAAAAAAAAATAAAATAAAAAAAAAAATATGATTCAAATATATAACACAAAATTTATATATATAAAATTTTTATCATAGAATTAGTTACCTTGATTTAATAGAAGACTCAAACGATGTAGGTGTTTTACATGGAACTATGTCCAAAGTAGGAGTAGAAGCAGCCACGGGTTTTAACTATAGCAAAACATGAAATACATTAGTACATAATTAACTATACAGTAAATAATTTTAACTTGAATTAAATGTTGTAATAATTAACAATGATATATGATATGCAATTAAATTTTATGTAATTGACGATAACGAGAAAAATACCATAATATTAAATGATATTTAAAAATAAATAAACTAGTCTTGTGCAACTTAATATACTTTTTTGGAGTTATCATCAGACTCTGGAACTATTTTTTTGATTTCTACGTCCTCATAATTTTGCACCATTTGTTGAAGAGGAACATTGGCTATAAATGGACCTTTAGCTTGTACTCTTTTATTTTGCATAGATTTTAAGACAGTCTGACATCCATTAGATTGATTTTCAACCATTCCTTAAATAACAATAGAATAATATACAATCAATCTGTAGTCTAATCAAAAATATTAATTTGCACATTTATTTGAATCTAAATATATATTTATTAATATGAATAATTATTCTTCGAATAATACTTGCCAATTGACAGTTAAATTTATAATTTTCATTTATTAAATTACAAAAAAAAATTAATATCTTTATCAATAAAAGAATTACCAATGCGATTAAGAGCTTTTAATTTAACATCAACTTGATCATCAGTATTAGTTGTTTCATCGACTGCTACAGATTTGTCCTAAATATAATACAAGTTAAAAACAAAAAAATAAAATAAAAAAATTACATGATCTTACAGAATGAACTTCTAAATCACTATCACTGAAATTATCTACTATCCATTCTGGTTTTAGAGAATTTAAATCAAATGAATTCAGTTCATTGGTAGCAATTTCAGAACTACTATTTGATTTATTGTTCACATTATTAGCATTAACATCATCCTAAACAATTTTAGAAAAATTACTCTTAGCACAACAAAAATATATTTTTAAATATTCAATTTTACAATAAAATTAAGATTTATTTTTATTACTTACACACAAATTTTTACTGCCGGAAAAACTAAAACTATCAGAATAGCTATGAATAAATCCTCTGTTAAATTCATTTTCAGTTCTATTCAAACTAGATTCTACATTACGTTGTGGAGTACAAAATAATGACCTCCGTGAATATTCAACTTCATATTTTTGTTTACCCTTTTCAATAAGCATACTGATACGTTGTCGTGTTTGCTCTCTAATGAGTTTTTTTTCTTCTTCATTACAGACTGAATTTTTTTCTAAATCTTTATCATTAGAATCTTCAGTTAAAACTAATACATTATTTTCAACTTGGGTTTCTATTTGGTTTACTTCTTCATGTACTGGGACATTTTCTATTGACTGAATACAACCTTCTTTTTTAAGACATGTGGTTACATTATCTTTTAATTGGCTTTCATTAATTTGATCTTTATTCTTATCTATACAATTTTTCTCTAAGATTTTGGCAACACCATTAATATCAGTTAAGGATACACTTCTTTTCATCTGTTTAAATGTTAATTCAAATAATGGACTTAATATGTTACCACATGGTGGATCTCTCTTTGATGGTGTTTGACATGGAACTAAATCAAAAGGATCCATTGTTGCTGCTTTCAACTCCAATATATCAAATGGGTTATTTGCACAATTTTCTTCATACGTTTTATTTTTCACAATTTCAGGTGTACGCCACTCAATAAGTGAAATATCAACTAATTCATTACTTTTAAATGAGTCCATGGTCCTAGAAATAAGTTAAATTATTAGTTATGATTTTCATTATAAAAAAAATTCTATATTAACATACATTTTTATGCCAATACTGTACAAAGTTATGAGTTATGAAATAAATTTAAATATTAATAAAAAATATTACAGAGTGTACTTGGTACTCGAAAGCAATAATGTAACAACTATAAAATGTATAATATGTCTATTTTGTACTGACATAGTACCTACTAATTATATTATTTGACGAATAACTTATATTTTTAGGGCAGGCAATCTCAATAGTTGTGTTACAAAAAATATTCATCGAAACAAACTTAGAAAGTAGTATAATTTTGCACAGACCACAAATTATATATTACATTAAAATATGTTTAGGTGACACGGAGTACACGTTTTCATATTATTTTAGAGTACGTATGTCGGTCATACTAACCGTTGAAAATGGCAAGAGAACGTAGTCATCGAAATCGTGAAACAATGAATGTTACTGGCAAAAACAATATGATTATGTTAAGACGCAAAGGTCAGTGAGGAGGGATGATGAGTGTCACACGGACATTACTATTACATATACTATTTACATAACTTACAAATCTAATTCGTTGCAATAATGTTGGTTCGTCTGAATGACAAAACCGTATACGAACCTCGACGACACGCCAATTGGAAATTATTCGACGGAATACGGAACGCGTTTCACGGTGTTGTACTGATCCGTTGCACGACGAAAAGACAGAACAGAAGAATATAATAGTAGTAATTGAGTAGTACACAAGAAGAATAAGATGGTAATTAAACGATTATTAACGAGCAAAACGAAGACAAAAAAAAAAAAAAAAAAGCAAAATTTAAATTTAAATTTAAGATAAATAATAACGTATTTACCAGGTGTTTGGCGATTATAGCATAGAACGAGTACAGAGCGACGAACGTTTGTTGTCTGCCGTTCAAGATAACGCACCGCTATCCATAGACATAACATAATATTACATTTGTACTGTGCCGCGATCTGTTCGTCGATCTTTGATAGTTCGGTTACGCTATCGATCACAATGTGTTGCGGGCACTGCGGCTAATAAGGGGCGCACGTCTATTGACGACGATCGTTTGTGTTGCCACGCGAACTATTTACAAACGGTTTGAGCAATGTTATTACTAGGGTTCGGGACTTCATACATTTGCATATTGTTCAATAACGATTGAAGAACAGTCTAAGGAAGATATAAATTTGTTTTAAGTCATAACTGAAATACAAACATTTGATTAGCATGTTTTCGCATATTTCACCGTTTTCTGAACAAAACGCATATTTTTTACAAATTTCGGCGCAATTAAATTGTTATTTATAGCGCGTTTACGCAGTTTTCGTTTGATTTTAAGTGAATTTATTTTAAAGATTAACATTAATTTATTTTTTTACTTTCATGCATCGGTCAATATACGTAATCGTAGAACGAGTCGAGACAGAGCAACAAGGCAAATACCTTGTTTCTACGTTTACTATCGTTTATCATAAATCGTTTAAAGAATGTAAAAGAAAAATAAGTATTCAGTTAGTTTTTTACACTGTAGGAAAAGATGAAGAAAATGAAATCGAACATACATAGTAATATAATGTATATAGTGTTATTGTTATCAAAAAATACTAATTAAAAATAATGTCAAAATTTAAATTAATAAATCAAAAATTTTAACTGTCATTAAAAAAATATTCAGTTGCATATTTCGGTTATTTTAATTGCATATTTATATGCGTATTCCCTAAAAAATGTTTGTACAATAAGTCCCGAACCCTAGATATTGCCCATCGTTACGTCTAAGGCTCGTGGAAAACAAATGTTCCGCAGAACCTCGTCAAGGAACAACAATCGTTGAAAGGACTACGTGTACTTACTTAATTGACTTTTATATATTCAATTGTAAAACATTGTTGATGGCTCGGTGTTAAATCTGTTATACTCAACATGGGAAACCTTTAATAGACTGAGAACAGGAGCAGGTAGATGCAAATTAAATAAGTTCAAGTTGAAATTAACAGAGGATGACAAATGCGAATGTGGCTCCAACCAGATCATGCAATATCTTCTAGTCTGTCCAAATCTCCCAACAACATGCAACATTCAAGACCTTTTGGAAGCCAACAACCAGGCAATGGAAGTCGCTCGTTACTGGTAGAAAATTATATGAAGGCAATTAATGGCCCGGACTCGTAAAAAAAAAAAAAATTGTAAAACACATCCCTTATTTGCCTTGTGTACGGCAATATCATCCCTTAACCCTTTTATGGTGGTGAGGTGAGACGAACTTTATACATGTATTTTATATTTATACATTTTTAAACTATAATAAATATAATTTAAATGCATTTTTATAATGCATTTTTTGAGATATTTTAGGGCATTAAAATCCCAGCCCTAGTTATAACTTATTATTTATTTTATATTTTATAGTATTCTGCTAGTTATAAATTTAACTATAATCATGGGTGTCCATAAGTAAAACTTTAAAAAGAAGCCAATTTTGTTTTTTAAATTATGAGCTATATATTCTCAAAAAGGTAACACTTATTCAATTTTATGTTTTTCTGGAAAAGGGGGACAAGTGCAAAATCTTGTTTTCCTCAATGATCGCTCTTTGCTATGATTATATTTAGAGAACAAATTAAGTAAAATTGTTAGACCCCCCTTTATATAATTTCTAGTTACGCCACTGGATTATATATTATTATATTATAACTACTCGGATATGTTGAGTTATACAGTACCGCTAGGCTACAGTACCACATCTCCTAATAAAGCCATATTAAGTTATTTAACATGACATTAAATGTTTACAATTTAAAAGAACCATAACTTAAAAACTAAGTTTGATCGCCCAATTCTGATTGCACCATCGTTCTCGGCGCAAAAAAAAACTTTCGTTCGGAAAAAAATCTACTTGGCCCATCGTATTACATAGATAAGTACCCTTTTTAATGACGAAAATGATATTTCGTTTTATGCAATTGAAACTGGAAGTGTGTTAAAAACGGTTAATAATTTAAATATATTTTGAGATTATATACTGACAAAGTTTCCATTGCGTTGCCGTAATCATTTGTTTTCAAGAAAATTGTGGTATTTTAACCGGCATAACACTCTCCGTAAATACTCCACTGGATAGGGTGTTTTTATATACAGTTATAACGTCATATCGAAACAGTGGCGTATCCAGGTTTCATTTAACAGGGGCGTTTTAAAATTAAATAGACTTATGGTAAGTGGGAGGCTCTGCCCCCTCCTATATTACATATATAAATACCATGTATTTATATAAATTATTATACTAATGAACAGTGCTCGACTTGGCAAAAATAAAGAAGGGGGTCTCTATTTACTTAAAAAAAAAAAGAACGTCTCCAAAATTGGTTGAGCATTATGATTATACCGTAATAATAGTAGGGGGACGCTAAAATTTCTGAAAATTAGTTGGGGTACTCCGTCGCTCTGCGTTCCCTCACAAGTCGAACACTGCTAATGAAAATTATTATATTAGACAGTGTATGTAAAATCGACAAGTTGTATACAACGTTTATTCAAATTATACTGTAAGTTTGCAATTTGATGAAATACCATAGAATATGGTCGATGGGGGGTGTTCTAACAACCATATCATTACCCCTCCCCATAAATACGCCCTTGTATCGAAACAATTTGCTGAGGTTTTAACCAAGAAATATAATACGGCAGATAGAATTATATAGTTTTCAAAATAGTACAGTGAGATGTGTACCGTACTTTTTACTTAGTAAACTTTGGCTAGTAGTCGATTGGTTGCATCGATTTAACTAGCAACGCAACATGTTTGTCAAGGACAAATACCCATTTTTGTTACTAAGTAAATTACATTATTATTTTATCTGTAAAAATAATTTCAAACGACCCTTATTGGTTTCTTGATATGGTATTATAGTTTTAATGTTTCACATTTGGTTACATTTTATTTTGAAATCGTTTTTATTCAACATTTTATGAAGGCTACTACATTGAATAAACGTTACACTTTTACATAAGAAAAACTAAAACTGTGTTGTTAGTCACAATGAACTATTTGAATAATCTTAGAATAGGATTCTCATACGTTCTGGTTTGACCGGAACAGTATCAATTTTGAGTATAACGTCCTGGTGTTCCAATTATGTTTCAGGAGAACCAATTGTTTCGTATCAAGACTTCAATAATGTATTTTTGTAATTTATTAAACTTTAAATTGAAAAACCATAATATTATTGTCATGATAAAATATACCATTGAAGAGTTAACTGACAAAATCTATTTTTAATTATTTTCCCGGCTAAGTGACGATTATTTTTGTCAAATAAGTTCTTCGTATTACCGTTCCCTGGCGAGCATAGGCGTGCGCAGACCTGTATTTCAGGAGGCGCCTAAAATATTTTTGGGCTCTATCTTAAAAAAACGCTTATCTATGCTTATGATATTTGTAGATCGCTAATCGAATCAACTATTATTTAATATTTTGCCAGTTGTAGTGATCATTGTAGTGCAGAGAAGTCATCCGTAGTTTGTGTTTATTTCAGACCTTCTATCCTGGATAGGGGTAATATGAATATGGTATACCAAAAGATCAAATAATAAATAAATAAATAAATACATTTTTGTAATAATTGTATCAGTATAATCAAAAAATCAATAAAAAGTTATGTAATAAGAAAAGTGAAAAAAAAAAAATTGTACTGCTCTTTGCCAAATCCTTAATTAGAATGTAATGAAATAAATTGTTTTCAAATTTTGTATGTTGAATTTATGATTCATAATATATTTCGGCTTACATAAAATTAAATGTCTGTTTATTTTCAATTTAAAATTGTTTGTAAGGCTTATCGATAGAGTGCGTATAAAGTTAACAGTATTAACACTGTTATCAGTAGGTTTTTCCGGTAGATATTCAATGTCTGAATAAGATTATTGTAATTTAATATCACTAACTGGACTACATAACTATGAGTTAGTCGTACTTCGTTAATGACGTCAGTGAAGGGGATTTGTTGCTTAGTACTCATAGTGTATATTCATCGAATAATGAACAGTATTACAACAAACATTCACATTATGGCTGATTCGCTATGCGGCATCTGCCCATTTCTCATACATTGGTTACATAACACATGCTTATTATCTACTAAAAATCATTTTAACACTTTAATTATTAAGTTATTAATGTTTATAACTATAATCGTAACAACTTATATTCAGTTTGTAAATGAATCAACTCAGAAGAATAATACTGTCCGGATCTAACTTAGGTGAGGAAAGATTACATAATAAGTATCTATAGTTGTAATTATCATATAAAATCTCTTAAACAAAATAATGGAATTGGTATGTGATGTGTGCAAAAAAATATTTTGTAATTCAACAGTGTTAATGATACACAAGCGTATACATACAGGTAATAAACCTTACCAATGCCATATATGTGGGAAGACTTACAGCCAAATTAGTTCCTTTGATTATCATTTGAAAATTCATACTGATGAAAAAACAATAACTTGCGCTCATTGTGCACAGACATTTCGTAGTAAACCTGTATTAATTAACCACGTTAAATTGCATATCGGTGAACAATTATTCTTATGTGAAGTATGTGGTAGACAATTTGTCTCAAAAGTTGCACTCGATTACCATTTAACTACACACAATAAGCAAATAGTCAGGCATAACTGCAAAAAGTGTGGAAAAATATTCAACCACAGTAGCAGCTTGTTTAGACATATGAAGAAGTGTTGTTACGATATAAGAACCGGTACTAAATCAAAAATATTTCTCAAGAAACCTTCTTACAACTGCACTAATTGTCTTAGAAGTTTTACACGTAAATATTCACTTGAATACCATATGAAAATACACACTGGAGAAAAACCGTACAAGTGCAATGAATGTAATTTGTCATTTAGAGCATTATCAACATTGCAAAACCATGTAAGGCGTCACAATGATGAAAAACCTTACATTTGCACAATATGTGAAAATCGATTTTCATACAGAAATTCTCTTGTTTGTCATTATAAAACCCACAGTATTGAAAAAAAATAATGATTGTATAAACTGTAATCAGACATTTTTAATAAAATCAAATTTAATAAAACATAAGAACTTTAGAATATAACTTTTGTTAACTAGTCAATTTTAAATTGTATTATAGATTTTTTTTTTTTTTTGTTAAATTATAAATTTTTAATAAAAATAAAGAATTAAATTGTTTTAGTCATGAACAAAAGAAGTACAAGTGTTCACTCAGCTGGTATTGAACAAATATATGAAATGCCTCTTAATGAAATCATACGACCAATCCCACCACAAGTAGATGAAGCAAAAGTTAAAAGTTTAATGGATGCTTTGTCTGTAAGTGTATTAAAATAAGAAAAAAATCATATTATCAAAAAGATAAAAATTTTAATATTAGTGTAATCATTTATAGATAAATAAATATAAATACCAATTGAATTACAAATATTTGAAAAGGCACAAAAAAAAAAAAAAAAAAATAATAATAATAATAATAATAATAAAAATGTACACATTCAATTTAAGGAATTATAAAATAACTCAATTTATAATTTAATTGCATAAAGAAAATTTTCCAATTCCCAAATTTTAAATTTAATACAATTACAAATTTCATTTTAAAATACAATTATAAATTTATTTTTGGATATAGGATTCAAGTCTCAAAGATTCAGTACCCCCAATAGATGTATTATGGATTAAAGGAAAAGAGGGAGGTAATTATTACTATTCATTTGGTGGATGTCATCGATATGCTGCTCATAAACGTTTGAATATGAAAACAGTTAAAGTAAAATTGGTATCTTCAACCATTCAAGATTTACACAATTACTTAGGAGCATCTACACCTGACCTTAAATAACATTATCAGATTAACTTATATTGGATTTAAAATGATTAAGGATGTCAATAAATTTCAGCACATAAATTGGAAGTTATTTTAATTATTAAAAATAAATAAATAAAATAACACTTCACAAATAATATTAATCTTGTTTTATTGAAAAAAAAAATGTTGTTGATAACTTACCATTTTTGACTGTTTTCAAGGATTGTACCAAAGAGGATCTTGCTGCAAGTATATATTTTATTATAAATATTTTAGTAAAACAAAAAACTCGTAAAATATTTTATTTACCTCCTGGGTTTTAGCTTTAACTTTTCTTTCAATGAGTTGTTGAAGTGCTTCTGATCGCACTGATAAGGTATCTATTTTCTCTAAAAGTTGCTGGTATGGCGATAGAGGTTGTGTTCCCATGACAACATGTCCAAGTTTTGAATCAATTTTAGCATCTAATCTCGCATTTCTAATAAGGTTTACAATCCAACATTCAGCTTCTTCTGGATTCATATTTAATTTTTCAGCTAGCATACTAAATAGGATAAAAATGATACAACTTTACTGGAATTTAAACACATTGATAACACATACCCAATACTGATACACTGATGAATACGACAGAATGTCTCAAAAATCATAAGACGAGCATTTTCAACAAAATCATCAAGACATGCAGTCAAGAAGAAGTCATTAAAAAGAACAATTTGACATTCATGTAATTTATCACGAGCTCCTTCAAAATCAAAGTTTACATAGAGATTTTCAAGTAGTTCAGTTATTGGGTCACGATAAGTATAGGATTCCTAAATAAAACAATAACATTTCCTTTAAGATTATTTCAAAAATAAATATGATTTATACTTTTATCTGTTACAAGAAAAAAAAATAGATAATATCAGTTGAACTTACTTGTTGGATAACCTTAACTAAATCCTTCATTGCTGCTCTTCTTGAACGATTTATGATTACTGCAGTAGCCAAATAGCGAAGAATATGTGGACACATTGTTTGAATGGCATTTAGATAGCTAATTACAAATATAATATAAGCTTTGACAAGATTGTTTAAGTAAATTAAAATAAAATATATTATTACTTTGGTCTGTACAGAAACATATCAATGATAAGATCACGTCCCTTAACATGATTGAAAAATACAAACAAACTCCAGTGAATTAACCATGTACGTTGTTGAAGCAAGTGCAAAGGAGAGCCATTAGTATTAGAATCAATATATTCTCTTAGTTTATTTAAATCTTCAAGAGCAGTCTCCCAGTTCTGAGTGAGGATTTCTGATGCCAATTTTCCCCAAAGAACATTTAAGTAGTTCTAAACAATAACTAAAGTATAATAATACATTTAATTTTATTTTAAGTATTTTAATCTTACCTTATCAGTAGGTGACATAACCAATAAATAGAAGTATAAATAACTTGTTGTACCAGTATAGTTACCACAGTCGTAATGATACTTTGCAAATTTATACATACTTTCCATCATTTCAACTTTAAACTAAACAAATAAATAAACTTAATAGTAACTTAAGTGCTTTAATTTAAGTATAAAATTATAATTAACAATTTGTTTTTAATACAGTAATTCAATTCTTCATTAAATATACAATTAATGTACATAGAATGAAAAATAAATTTAAAAGCCTATAACAATACTGATAATTGTACTCATGATTTCATTTTGAAAAGTCCAACATAAAAAACAAATAATTTAAAATTATATAGGCAATTTATACAATACATAGTACAAATTTTTTACACACTATTCAATAATGAAGTATTTACATTTATATATATGAAATAGGAAATAACAAAAATTATTTAACAGTATTGAAATAAAACTTGATTAATGAACAAATTTAAAAAACAATATTATTTAAAGCCTTTAAATATTGAATTATTAAAGTATGAGCAATTAAGAATACAATAATTATTTTAATTTTGTTTAATCTAATTGAAATATATTTAATAAACAAGGAAACCAAAGTGAATATGTAAAAATTTAAAACATATTATTGATATCCCAAAATAATTTAATATTTAAACTAACTATAAAATATATAAGAGCAGACAGTAGTTAATTATAGCAACACTTACATTAAATTCCTTGTTTAAATATGCGGATAAAGTCTTAGGATCCCTCATTGTTTCCATAGTTTTCATAACTTTATCATCTCTGAGAAAATTCATAACAACATCTACGTCATTTTGAAGTTGATGTAGTTGTGATACAATTTCATCTCTCCTCGTTTTCATATCCTAGAAATGTATCATTCAATAAATTATTATCAACCATCGCGTACAGAACGTAATAATTGACTTACCTCAGGTATTTCTTTGTCGGGATTCAACTGTTTATATATCTCAATAACGTAATCCATCATGTTGGTCTTGTTGAGGATGTCGAGTTTGGCTTGCAAAATTTCATTTTCATTATAGATCTAAACAAATAGTGTTCAAAGACGATTAGCCGAGGGCAGTATAGAAAATGCGTTATGGCAAAAATCATAAGAAAACGGTATGCGTGTAACCGACACATAAAATGAAGTTTCTTCTTAGCGCCCGAGCTCATAATATTTATAAGTAGGATCAAATACGATAACACGAAAAAAATTATTACACGCGTACGCGGAATGCATTCCTTTATATGGACGATCTAAGGTGGTAGAACAAAAAAAATTGATTCGTCGTAATCAAATGTCATAATCACAATAGAAACGTAAGATGTATTCAACGAAAACGCTTACCTTTTTTGCCCACAAGAACTCCAGTAATGGCACGGCCAAATGCCGGTCCAGATATTTTGTCATCTTACTCGTTAAATCGAACTTTGCCATAGCGATGGGGATTCCACTCAATTCGCCACTATTAAACGGAGCAGTATTTTCGAGGAAACGAAAAAAACAAAAACAAAAACGTATTCGAAAGAACGGATAAACACAATCGGCTTTTGACTTCACGAGCGAGAATCCGTGTTAAAACTCAGGTATCGGGGACAGGATAAACCAGAATCGTCAGAGTGGCGTTACATTTACGATTTTTTTTTTTTGAGGTTACGTTGTGACTGGTTAACATTACCAAAGACAACGTACCACTGTTATCACCACGTAGTTCCGGTACAAAAAATTTTGGCGCCATAAACGCAAGACCGCCTTGCATGTTTATAATTTTTGTTGTAAGTACTATTTTGATTATCCGCTTCATCATTGATTATATAGAATAAACAATTATCCGACTATTGTTTCGATTTATTCCATAAACAAATGGTATCATTTAAGTAGACCGTGACTAGGAAACTTTACGCAACGAGATATTATTGTTGTTCATCAAAAGTTTTAGTTTTTATAAAATTTGACAGTGTTAGACTTGTGATAATAATATTGATCTATTTTTTCATCCGAATAGATTGTGATTAAATATTTCCGATTTGCGTATCAAAAAATTATACAATCGGTTATAAATTATCTTTGGTATAGATAATTGAACAATTAGTATATAATTGGTGTATTTTAGTTATTGATATTTGAGAAAATAATGTACAACTACTCTATTTTTGACATGTAATCAGTTCTTCCATCAATGCTTCCATATATGCTTTTACACAAATTAGCCCATCGTAGAAATGTATCAATTTAAATAATAACTAAATAATTCTCTTATCATATTAAAAAATTAACATTTACAAAATACAATGCACATATTTTTGAATGTTTTTTTCATTAAGTGATTTAGAAATACTATATTGGGTTTTCTTAATTTCAATGGTTTTTTTTCAAAGTACCATAAGAATTATAAAGTGAATGAGTAATATAATGCATGTAAAACAAAGATAATTAATTTTTATATTTTCAAAATGTTATTAATAATCATTTATTAGGACAAGGCTTCCCAGATTTTTAGTATAAATATAGTTGAGATAAAACAATAATTTTCATTTTATTTTTGTGGTATACTGTTTAAATCACTATAATACATATCCATTAAACAGAAAAAATATTTTCAAGCTCATTTTTAAGAAACTAAAGTATTTTGTGTATTTTATTGAAAGTTGAAAACATTAAAAACAATAAACCTTCTACTCATCTAATACTTCAGTCCATACCTTTAAGTTAACATAACCATTATATTATAATAAGACATAAGACATCAATATTAAACATTTTTTAACAGCCAAATAGAAGCTTATATCATTAATAATTAGAGTAAATAACATGAACCTTAATTTTAACATTAAGGAACGAAAATATAACTCAAGCAAATAACATAACCCTGATTTTCACAATAAAAATTATGAGTTCCTTCGCCATTAAGTTCTATGATAATATTTTTTAATTTGTAATTTAAATATGTTTATTATTGAGGAATGTATTATAAGCTATTTTTTAAACCAAAGAAAAGCCTTGTGTCTGATGAATGGCTTGAATTAACTTGTATTTCAGTTTTCCTTTTGATCGATATTTAGGTAAATCTAGAAGATTGAAACATGTGTGTGCCACTGGTAAAAAATTATCATCTTCAGTTGGCTGTATATAAATCTAGAGAAAAAACAAAATTGAAATATTACTATAAAACAAATAATAATAATAATATATCTGACTTTGATAGCTTTCATTCCCATAACAGGTACACGGTCACTACCGGTGAGAAAAAGCAAAAACTTCTTTTTGTGATCAATATCAAACTCGTGAAACACTTCCCAAAATAATTTTATGGTCTCATCATCTTGCGTATAACCATTTCTGTATTGAGCATTTTTTTCCAATTCAATCCAATCATAGTCTTGATTGCCAACAACAACAGCCATTAATTCTTGTGAATGGAATAATCTGAGTACTCGTCCGCCACATACTTGTAAAAATGCATCTTTAAACACATTGAATTGTTTTTCAACTCCAATGTTTAAAACCATATCTACATACAAATCAACAAACTCATGTCTAAACAAAAAAAAAAATACCAATATATAGTTAAATTCATTAAATATAAACATTTATTATTTAGCTACTTATTTTCTTGTGTAACTAATGTATTGGCTCCATCAGGTTTTAATGGAACTGTTTGTATTTCTCCATAGACATCTCTAGTTATTTCAAATGTGAGATTAAATACATCACTGAGATCAGGTTTATCATATGTCAATAATTCCTCAAAACTCCTATAAAATTCATTCAAATTATCAACAAATATTATCAAGCTATTTAATAACAATTAATACTTACTTAACTATGGTGGGATTTAGATCTTTAAGATCCTGAAGAGTTACGGGTTCATTAAGTAATTTTTTGTACAATGCCAAAGGAAATGGTAAGTCTATGATGATAAAATTATAAATGGCTAAACCACACATCAAACCTTATAAAAAAGAAACACATTAAATACTGTTTTAAATGTATAATATTTAAAACTATAAGTTATACATACCAATGAGGTAATACATTGTGAGGTCTTCAAATGAATAATCATTAAACCATATCATGTTTGTCTCATCATAATTAATGAACATTCCAAACTTAGGATCTAAAATCTCCTTAATCAAAAGCATAAAAAATTCTTTTTTCACTCCACCAGCATCTTCAGCTTCTTCATCAATAAATCTTACCTGATAATACATTAGTAATAAATAAATAAAATTTTAACTGAAATTGTTTTATAATAATTAAATTCTAACTTTCAATGGTTTTTTGTAATCATTTCCCGTATATTGAGATAATTCACGTATAGCATCATCTACTAAATTACGTCGAGAAACTGCAAGTTCAATAAACTGATTTACAGCACTATGCTGAATACCATCATAAAACATTTGTGTAAAAGCTCTTGTCGCTGCAGCTGCCATAGCTTGTTGCATCTGGAATACAATAGTTGCAAAATTAACATCTCAAACAAAATTGTAGTGTTCATGTATACAGACCTGTAATTTTTGATCAACTTGTAAAAGTATTGTTTTAGCTTCAGCATCAAATAGAAAAGCATAATTACAAAAACAAAAATCCTGATCCTAAAAATATAAAGTTTATGTGGTTTAATATTAATTGATAAATTTTACACTAATAAAAACAGTAAATACTTTAGATCCATTATCAGAATCCATAATATATGCCCATTTCATGTATTCATGACGAATATTTATTTTTTCAGCTAAATGAGGTATATAAAATGTAGTATACGGCACTTTTAATTGGCCTTTTTTAACTTGATTCCCATTCAAATTAGAATTTAATCTATTAAGTTTACCCAACATTGAAGCAGCAACTATTAATCCTTTATTCAGGTTAGGTGTTACTTGCTGAAAATATAAAATAATATATTAAGAATAAATTGTTTAAATAATGTGTATGTAGATAAAGATGGGTACTACATATATACTAGTTTTTTTTTTTTTAAACTATTAGTAAGACCATCGGTAAGACAACAATAAAGCCTACACAATGGCGTTAAAATTTTAATAATTTATTCAGACAAAAAAACTTTTTTAAGGCTCCAGCTTTAGGAAGGCTCAATTTTATTTATCAAAAAATAATTCTGCACCTTCTACGTTTTAAATTATAAACATGTTGGACTATATTACAATTTATATTAATACTTTTTTGATCTACAAATATGTTTTTATATGTATAAAATAATTGTTTTTAGGTATAATCCTAATAAATTTCTACCTTATATTGTAATAATATATATGGATGTCGACAGTTCATCTAATGCTTAAAGAATAACTCACATATCAATTACTTAGTGGTCAAATTTACTTAAATTTTCAATATGATCATATATATTGTCTATGGTCACATGGGTTTTAGCGCCAGTGGTCTAAAATGTAATTATTTAAATAATAAATATAAAGTTAACATAATCATTTTCAATAAGTAAAATTAAAAATATTTAAGTTCAATTTATTTATTTAATCAATTTAATCATTGAATAATTATGTATTTATCTCATCAAATATAGTAGGTCAGTCACTATTACCCTAAAAAATGTCTCAACACCCCATCAATCAAAAGCTTTATTGTTTCATAAATTTACTAATTGTCTCAAGTATACATAGATTTAAATACTTAAAGGTTTCTTTCATCAAAATAAAACATCTAATTTATGGTAAATTTTTTATTAAATAATGAAATTCGTTAATTTTTTTCAACATTAAAAGTAATATGAATATTAGATAAATATTTAATTTAAATTTTAAGAAAATAAGATTTCAATATACTTACAGCATTGATTGAGAATGTGTTCAATTGATCAATAAATAAATTTTTATACACCGTAATTAATGTCTCAAAATATATAACAGGCATTGAAGAAATCCATAAATCTAAAACAAATACGATTCAACTGTATCAATAAAGGAGTATACATAAATAAATAACAAATATTTTTTAACAATTAAAAAATATGCATGGGAAAAGATTTTTTACTATCCAACAGGTAATTGTTGGATTTTAATATATGTTGGATTTAATATTTAAATATTAAATATTAAATTAATATTTAATATATGTTGGATTGTAATTGTAAAATCAATTTGATTTTTTTTTCTCTGAATACATTTCAGAAATGTACTAGTTACTTTTACATATCGATAGATTTTCAAAATTAAATCTACAAATTCATTAGAACCCCACAAAAAACTGTTATGTAACATTAATCATATACATTTCTTAACTTAAATTAATATGGAGTAAATACATATTATACTGAATTTGAAACATTAAGAATTTTAATTTTCCCATTGTAAAACTTGAAAAATTCTTTTTAGAAAAGAACATATATTTTTTTTCTAACAACTAAATTTTTTCACTCTTATAATAAGTTTTAAGTTCACTGAAAAGTAAATCCAAAAAAATTAACAGTATGGAATTAATAATTTATAAATTTATGTAAATGTATTTTACCAGTAGTAAGTAACTCCATATTTTTCAAATATAATAAAGCTTCAGCATAAGGCACTTGAAGTATAGTAGAGTTCGTAATATTTTTAAACTCATGATACATGGGCAAGGTGAGATAAAATCTCAATGACTCTACATCAGGGGGAGGTGCTGACAAACAATCAACTGCACTAGCTAATGACGTCAGTATCTAAAAATAAAATTGTATTAATTTATTGGAATATTTTGTAATAACAATGATACTTACTAAGTCATTCAAAGACGTGTTACGTACATGACCAATTGCATCAAAACATTGTGCAGCAAGATTGAAATTTACTCCATGATTATTTTTTGAACAAGTATAATGACTATCATTTAACATTAAAAATGAGCCATTTAAACATGACAAACTGCTCATTACAATTTCAACAAATCTTAATAAAAATCAACATATTATTTAATATAGAATAATTAATAAACCAATACTTTGTCAATACTCACGACATTCGGTCTTGGTCAACAGGATTATCTGGTAATATAGTTGATAAATGTATCACATCAGAAAGCTTAACTGTACAAATTTGTGAATTCTCCTGTAAACTACGATAATCATCTGGAGGTATTTTATCCTAATTCATATTTTATTTTTTTTTAAAGAAATGTATAATATATTAATTTATGTTTACCAAAAAATTAGTTTAAATAATAAATACCATTTGGTGAGTAACCTTAACAAAACATTGGTCACCTCCAGCAAATATACTTTTAACAATATATTGTTTATTTGTTTTTATCACAGATGCTCCAGATGGAGATAGCCAAGGTCCTAAAACTAATTGTGGTGTATTTGAATTAATTGATGCTTTTGTACCCAATTGACCAACACCACCAAGTCCAAAAGAGTAAACACGACCTTTAGAAGGTACCAAAGTTAAAGTGTGTCTCCTAATAATGATGGAATATATTTTATTAAATAGTAAGCCATAATATTAAATCAAAATTAATTACCGCCCACAAGTCACTTGGGTCACAGTACTTCCCATGAGCTCTAATACTTTTCTTGGAACAATTTCATTAGAAAATGAACCATGTCCTAATTGACCATACATACCAGCACCACATGTAAAAACACCACCATCCTACATACATTAATTATACATTATATAAATAACATTTATACATATATATATATATATATATATATAATTAAATAAAAGAATAATATATAATACATAAGTTAAAAATACTGAGAAATCTTCTCCTGCGCTAATATATTTTACTCTAGCAGTTCTTATTGTATTCAACTCTGTAGGTATTGATACATTAGTTTTATGGTTTAGTCCTAATTGTCCAAAATCATTTTTACCCCATCCAAAAACTGCACCTATATATAATATATAAAAATAATGAATTTTATAAACATAAAATAAATAAACTAATTTTACCTGACTTAGATACAACAAAACTATGGTATCCACCACAAGCAATAAATAAAATTGGTAAGCCAATAAGAGATTTAACCAATGTTGGTTTAGACACATTAACAGGACCTTGATCAATGCCCAACTGTCCAAATTCATTTGAACCCCATGTATACAATTCACCATCTAAACACGTATAACTTTTACATATAATTCTGTCGTAATAATTAAACCATTACACTTTATAACAATTGACTACATAATATTAAAAACTGACTTACGATTAGTTAGGGCCATGCAGTGTTTATATCCAGAACTTATTTGAATTAAAGTCATAGTAGCCAGTGATTTAACGATTTTTGGTGTATATTGGATTTCTTCATCAGTTTCAAATCCTATATTTTATAATAAAGTTAAATTGACCTTTTTATTTACTTTTAATTAGAGTAAATTTAAATGTTATTATATTTTACCTAGTTGACAGCATGCGCCAGAACCCCATGTATATAATTGACCACATTGGTTCAATGCCATAGAATGAGCTTCTCCACATGCAACACTAGTCATTACTAAAGAACTAACACTTGTTATTTGTTCTGTAAAATAACCATAAAAAAAACTTGAAAATTCAGTATAAAACAACATAAAATAAAGTGTTATGTTTGATAAAATTTAATTAAACTATTTACGTAATTTAGTTCGAGGTCCGCTGTGTCCCAGCTGGCCAAAATCATTACTACCACATGCATATAGTTTTCCATCTTCAGCAACAGCTAAAGTATGATTATTTCCGCAGGCCACTAAATGCAGATGCACAATAAGACATTTGACATATGATTGTAATTGTTTAACTAATAGACATACCTGATTTAATGTCATTAATGCTTTCAAAATTGGTTATCTCTTCTGGACTGAAGATATGATTTTCTTCGATACCACCCAGACCGAGTTCCCCATTGACTGTGTTACCCCAACAAAACATGGTTATGCTTCTGTATACATTTTCATCACTATTCTCATTAATTTTAATTTCCTAAGTTGGTGAGTTTAAATAACAGAACAGACATAAGACCATTAGATAGAAAACAGCAAACATAATTCTATCTTACATAAACACAACACTCATATCACACAAATAGTTGTTTAAAAATGCCTTACCATTTCAAAGGTTTTAACATAACTCTGTTAGCTAAAATGATATTATAATATTACGTGTAAGAGGCATTGAAATACATTAGTAATCATGAAATATTAAAATTCTCCCTGAAGATGGATGAAAATTACTTACCGAAAGTGACCGGAATTATTGCGTTGGAAAGTATTCGGAAAAACGACTTTTGCACCAAACCGCAGGCCTTTTAATTTATGTGAAGCATAGTAATCAGCGGTCAACGAAATAAAAAAAAAATGTTTTTGACAAAAGATAACAAGTGAACGGAAAATATACAGTTGCATCGCAAGCAATCACGGCAAGTTGGATACGATTCTTACAAAAGTGTGATACCGACCTAAGTCACAGAGAGAATAACAATACGTTTGCGCGAAATTGTAGCCAACATCTTTGACATTATGATACCACGGCAGTTTGATATGATCATTTCGCCAACAGTGGTAAAAACCTTTTACCATGTAAAACCGGGTTTGTAGAGTAGGTAATGATAATATAAATAAATATTTAATAATATTGAATAATGTTAAATTTAATATTAAACAATATTAAATAATATTTACTCTATGGCACAGGCCTCGGTGGTGGCGCACAATAGATTATTAACAAGGTTGTGGAAAATATATAATTCGAGGTACCCACCCACCCCCACCAGTAAAGTCTGAGTTTAGGCTTAGTATAACTCTGATTTTTAAGTGTTTTTGGTTTTCTCTTACTAACAAAGATACTAAAAATAAAATTTTTTTAAATAAACCTAATATTAATTATTTTTCAATTTTCTGGGTATATGTATAAAAGAACAGGCCTTTTTTATGTACCCATATTGTGATGACCAGTGGCGTACATTCAATCTTGCTCTGGAGGGGGGGGGTTAACAAAAATAATCGATATCTTTTTTTTTTTGTTGCACAGATAAATACTATAAATAACTGATATAAATAGATATTATTTTATACAATTTTTTTACCAATTTACAGTTTACTTTTACATATAAACATAAACATAAACAGCATAGTTAACAAAATTTTTCAAACATCTATCAATATAATTATTTAATTATCATTATATTTGTATAGTTGTACATTTTAAGTTCAAAGCGTAATAATGAAACTACGAATATATTACTCGTCATCAATAATAAAACAATTTTCTTTTTTTTTTTGGGGCCTGGAGGATTTCAACCCGGGAATCCCCCTCCCCCCCACTCGTATGTACGCCACTGGTGGCAACGATACTTAACTTTTTTCCAGTTCTTTTTCACAGAATTGTTCCAAATACCTTCCTAAGTGTCATCACGTTACCCAATTTTTAAAATTTTGATTTTAAAGGGTTGAAATCGATAAAAATAATTTTTTACATGTATAATGTATATCTATATTCATATAATAATGACAATAGCAGTTGACCGATTACTGTTGCTATGACTTATGTAGGATTATATGGAAAACCGCATTATTTTGACAATCACAAATAACCGTGCTGACTCAATAAACTCGCTAATAATTAGTGGATTTCAAGCACTAGAAATGGATAACTTTTCTATCAATACAGTTATTAATAGTGAAGAATCGGTACATTTTCCTACCGAGTTTTTAAATTCTCAAAAACCATCTGGTATGTCTCCTCATAAAACATCACTGAAGGTGGGAGTTCCAATCATATTATTGAAAAATTTGAATTCTTCTAGATTATGTAATGGGACTAGGCTCCATGTAATCTCTTTTACAAAAAACATCATTTAAGCTGAAATTTTGACCGGATGAGCTAAGGGAGAAAAAATATTTTTACCGAAAATATCATTATACCCCAACGATTTTTTAGTTAAGTTTAGAAGAGTTCAATTTCATATAAAAGTCTGTTTTGTAATGACAATAAACAAAGCCCAAGGTCAGACTTTAACTTGCTGTGGTGTAGATTTGGAAAACAACTGATTTTCACATGGGCAATTGTGTATGTGGCATTGTCTAGAGTTGGAAGACCTGACTATTTATACCTTTATGCACCACTAAATAAAACTCAGAATGTGGTATACCTAGAGGTTTTGACTTAAGCCATATTAGAATTGAGCAACTACGTAAAGAGTCATTTGTAAATATTATTATTATTTTTTTTGTTTTGTTTATAATTCAACTACTACTACTACTACTATTAAGTTTTTGATAGCACTAAGTAAAATAAATTTTTTTTTTTCTTTAAAACAGAAAAATGTATGTTGATTTAACAATTTTATTTTGAGAAAGCAAAAACTACACATGGGCGAAACTGGGTAATTCAACTAGTTTATTTATAATCTAGTAAAGCATCATTTTTGTGATTAAACCCTACTGCTTATTCTCTGTGACGCTTTAGTTCTTGGGTAAAAATAATTACATATTGATACTATTAATATTAAACAAATATTCATACAAGTTCACACAAAACTAGTTACTCACTAATTCTTTGAGGGGGTCAGTCGACATCCCTGACCCTCCCTGTGTGCGCCACTGGGTCTCGGGCCTCAAAAGGTCGAATGCTTGAAAGTGTTTAACGATAAAAGATTTTTATTTGAGCACAGGCCTCGAGTTACGGGCACTGACTGTCATTGGTATGCCATCCGGGGCGTATCGTGGGGAGGAGGGTCTACGAAATGGAGTGCAACATTTTAGTCGCCCCTAAGCGCGTGATTAATTACACCGCGTGTTGTGCATAAGTAAGAAAAATTAAAAAAATGATATTCATGTCTTGGTGACTTTGAATTCGAATTTCATAATCATTTAACGTAATACGAATGATTTTCGTATAAATTCACATGAATCGTTCGTTCAGGGGTATCCCTCGAAATTTTTTTTAACCAATGTGAATTATGTTGTCTTTTGAGATAATTTACACAATCAAATTGTGTTTATTTCATATGATTCACAGGGACAAGGATTTCGGTAAACCATTTGAAAAAAACTAATTTTTTATTCAACCTCATGGATTTTTATTTTTTTGTATAATTGACAGAAAAATAGTGTATATAATCGCACGTATAAGTTATAAATAATAATTAAAATATTTATATTTTCTAAACGTTTTTTCATTGAATTAAAAGCGTTACTGGGTTAATTTAATAACTTTTTTTTTCTGTATTAAAATGGAGATTTCAGAAGTTGTATAAATATTAAGTTATAATAAATAAATATTAGAACAACACTAAACAGCCCCCGGAAGTCGGAAAATATGCTAAGAATGCAAAATACTAAAACAAATAATTAGTGAACTTTTGAAATTCTCTCTTTTGAGACAAAAGTTTAAATATAATAATAATATAAATAACCAGTTGACAGATTATTATGTTCACAATATGATGTTTAAATCTATTATTTAGTACCATAAATGAATAACTTTTTCAAAATTACTTTTAAAACTATTATTCAAAATAAAATGTCATTACGTTATTATTAATTATCATTTACGGGTGAAAACTAATATATTATTATAGTTATAAATCTTTTATCTATAGATTTACAAATAATAGTTAAATATTTTAACATTTATTGCGGCAATCACAGATATCGTGTACAAGATCAAATGCAAATAAAATTTTGTTATAATAAGTTATATAATATAGTTATAAACGTAAAATATTCTGTTAACATGTATTTTTATATTTAGAAGGTAATATGAATTATTCTGTTATAATTATAACTGTAAGACATAATCCATCATTAAAACATTTGATCAAATTATATTGATTTTTATAAATCAAAATTTGAAGTTGTCTTTAACTTTGGACAGTAAGATATTCGAAATTTAACACAGATTAAAATTAATTATAATAATATAGGTACTACAAAACTAAAGATTGTAGATGTATTAAGTTATAACTTAATAAGTCACTTATAATTATTTTATTAAAACGGTGTTTTGTTGAGTGTACGGCTTAAAAATTACCGAAGATATTTCAATTCAATATTTATTAATTTCAATTTCCATTTGTTCTTAATATAATACAATTAATTTACTTACCATGATGATAAATTTCAATAAAAATTAAAAATAGAAATAATATTAATAAAAACGTTTTTATTTTAATAAAATTATCTCTTCATTTCATACATGTTTGTAATAACAACACTCATAGTAGTTGGTATAGTAATATCTATAATGTTTGTATCTTTACATATGGATTGTATTCAACATTTCAAAGAATTTATTCAACATTTACGATTGTGGTCAGTGTGGTGTGTCCATTGGTTAGGTCTGGAGTAGGCTCTAACCTATTATCAAATAGTTATTATTAATATTTTTATATCATTATTATACTTTTAATATTTATAATATATATTATACTATAATATATAATAACTATGTATAGTACACACAATCTTAAAAAATTCTCATTCTTCCAGTACTTATACAATAATTAATTGCTTATTACCAAAAATATTAAGAATTTTTCCAAAAATTATAAATCTTACTAACTTATTTATAAAAATAGGAAATTATAATTCGTATATCATTTTTACTCGGACGTTATTTTTTACCATGACAAAAAATTAAATAATACTAGCCTTAATTCTCATTAGAATTTAATTTAAATACTATACCTACTACGAAATAACAAAATAAATATAATAGAAAAAAAAAATCAAATACCGAAAAACGACGATCAAGGAACGTTTGACAAATTATACTATTACATCAACTTATGTCTGAAAGATCTGTTTCGTATGAAATAGATGTATTTATTTTGTAACTACGACAATGAGTACACGCGAGCTCGTATATTTAATGATTTTCAGCTGCGGATGAAAATAATTATGATTATTATTTCATCATGTCATCAGGGTTATCTTTATTATTCTTCATGCACGACTGCATTTTTTTATTGGCCATTTTATATAAAATGGCGAGATCACATATATATATTCTTCATCATTATGTATTTTAACCGGCATCGGGAGCATTTTAGATACGAGTTTGGAACTGCACAAAATAAACAACTCCAATCATCGAAATATAATAAATGAAGTAGTCTTTTGTGAAATCTTTTGTAGAAATATTACATTTAATTTATGGCCAAAGCGCAAAAATTGTTCAAAATATGTCTAAACACACTATATTGCCTTCATTTTCATTAATCCGTATAGTAATTAAAAGATTGAATCGTTGGTTTATTTGGTATTGGAACTTAGCACCCATAGTAGATATCATTGTCTTACGTGGTCATTAGCGATACGATGATACGCAGGGAAAAAAAAACTTAACCTAACTTATTTTTTTTTTCGAGAAAATGAAAACGTAAATCAGATGTGTGGTTTTAGTCCATACTATTGAGTTATCCGTTTTTTATCTTTTCTT